ATGGATAGCCTCTAGGAAGCTTTTAGAGAGCTCCTGGGAGCTGGGGAGGGCAGAAATGAACAGAAAACCTTTTCGGTTTAGATGGTAGAATTAGTAACAGTAAACCTACCAGAAATACCACATTTGTCTGTTGGTAAAGAGCTCTTGCTACACTGATCCTTTGACGCTGACCTCCAGATAAATTAATACCCTTGGGGAAAAGATAAAATAATTCAATTAGAAACCTATGCAATTTTGAGACATTATTATTTAAACTATGCTTTTCCAAACATGACTTTTCATGGTATGCTTAAAAGGTAAAGCAGTCAAAAGTATAAAAAATTATTAGTCAAGATAGTCAGAATTTTCATACTCATTCTAAAGAACATCCTAATTATATCTGAATAGTGTATATATTATTTCTAAAATACAAAGTGCTTCATTGTTCAATTATTCAATCTATTAGCAACTCCTGCAGTGAATAGTAATTATTTCAAAGATACAGCTGGAAAAGTAAGACTGAAGTAACAACTTAGTCAGGATTCTTGTGTTCGTGATTTAGTAAAAATTATATAAATCAACATAAGCTAAAATGCAATGTTCATATAGATGTCTTTTGCCAATGCTATGAATTAACATTGGCAAACGCATGGGCACTGCAAAGGAGTATATCAATGGTAAACCTCTACAGCATAGCTCGGCCTCAATGTCTTCCATTGTTCTTTGGACATTCTCTAGCATTCTAATTTTTTTTTTTAATATTGTGTTTTAGCCATTATATGTTATTGATACTCTAATGTCCATGAAAGAACATCAACTACAAGGCTAGATCTACTGAAGCAATGAATAAAATGTCTAGATAAATAATGAATAACAAATCTAGATTATTGCTGTTAGATGACCCCAAACTATCTGACTATCTGGAGATCCTAGATTATGAGAGAATTTTCATTATTTCAACCTTCAGTCAGTAAGGAAATATATTCCATGTTTATTAACAAGTGCCTTTCTACTTCTTACTTTAATTGGGCTATTCTAACATGACTTTCATAAATATGTTCTAGATAATGAAAAATAATGTTTTGTTTAATAAATATACTTTCCCAATACAGTATTTCAGTCAGTGCCAGGAACACTAGATATATTGAGGTATGGCAGATAGAAGAAAAGCTGTAATGCCATGTATTAAGTATAACACTTTCATCCTAAGGATCTGAAACTCAGTTTGCTGTACAAAGCCATTTTTTCAAACACCAGTTATACTTTTAAGACCATGTGATAACATTTGGGTGCTTAATGTTTTCTAATTATACATAGTCACTAACCCTTTCTCCAATCTGTGTTTGGTCTCCATGAGGTAGTATGTCAATATCAGGCTGAAGACAGCAAGCATCAATTACTGCTTTATACCTGTGGAAACAAAAAAAGTAATTGTCAATTCATGTGGAAATTGCCTCACCAGCATACTTCATGTCCTTAAAAGCAAGATTAATCAGCTGGAAAAGTCACACATTGAAAAATACATGCTTGCTAAGCACTTATTTTTCCAATGGGAATCTCACCTGTTTCAGGCAAATACATTATGCTCCAACTAATAGCTTACTGTCAAATATTTTGAAGCTAAAAAAAGTGTGCCTTGGTCCTGTATGCCTTGAAGACTATCATCTATAACTGCCTGTAGGGGTTTCAGAATTGAAATGATTTAAATCAGATTACTTGCAAGTTTAAACTTGTCAACACTACAGGTCAAGAGCATGACATTCATTTATTTGTACTGGGATGATCTAAAATGTGATGGCAGTGTCTCAAAAATAAACATTAAAAAGGGGAAAAGAAGGGTTTAGGAGAAGATGATATATTGGAGAACTGTAAAAGTTCTATGTTTAAACTGTTATTTAATAGTGTTAAGACACTGTCTACTTTGGAATTATTCTTTGAGAAGTCATCTTGCCATGGATCTATCATGATAGTGATTCAGCATTATTTCTGCAGAATCTGAGAGTGTGACTTGTATTGCCTCATAATATTAATACAAACATAAATAAATGACTTCTTAAATAAGGATGTCAGAAGCAAACGTGCAACAAAAAAAAGTATCTAGTGCTGAAATGTACTCAAATGTTACTTACTTTATAGGTAATTTTCCAGGTTTGAAAAATACATTATTTGGGAGACTTTTCAAGAAAAAAGAGATCCCCAATCAATATGGATTGATGCTTTAGAACATTACATAGTTGAAAGTTAACTATCTGATACAACAACTCAACATTTGTTCCTTGTAGCTAGGAAAATAACATTGTCAGCATCAGCAAAAATGTTTACTGACAGGATGATAATGAGTTTTTACTGGCTCTTAAAACATTACCTTTGTTTATTGAAGGGGCTTTCAAAAGTGATATTTTCTTCCACAGTAGCATTTAACAACCATGGTTTCTGAGAAGCATATGCCACTGGCCCTCTTTTTCTGAAAAAAATAAAATAAGAGAACTCATCCATGTGTTTCTATGTACGATGTCTATTTACTTTCAAAGATACTTCTTTCAAAGACAAGTTAATATTTCCTATTGTTCATTCAAAAAAAGGCATGAGTGATGTGGTGGCCTATGGTGAAGATGCTCACCTCCCACTTGGAAGGTTGAGAGTTTAATCTTAGGTAGTGGCAGATATTTCTCTCCTAGAGTGCAAAGAAAAAAATACTGAGAACTCTGCGTGGTGTCAGGAAGGGCCTCCTGCCAATAAACACCTGTCCACCCTGTCGTCCTGAGTCTACCCTGAATTAAAGGATTACAGGGTGATAAAAAAGGAGTTCATAAAAAAAGAATATTGTCATTAATTGATAAGTGCATTATCAGTTAAGTTATTCTTTGCAAATTTGTTCGCCTTAACTATATGCAAAGTTGTAGTGAGATTACTTTGATGTCAATTTAGTTCCCAATTTGATATTTTTCACATATATCATTTTTATTAAGTATTTTGATTATAATAGTAAAATCTTATACAAACTAAACTTAAAGAAAAAAGAATAGGAAGGAGGAATAGAAAGTGCAAGACAAAAGAGAAGAAGAAAAGTAAGTATATAATAAACAGAAAAGAAATAAAAACGTGACTTCGAATCTTCATCACAGCAAATATAAACAAATTTAGTGACTCTTCATCACTTCTAAAGTTGCAAACATTTATGTCTTTATCCCATAACCCATCTCTTATCTACAGTATAAACAAATCCACAAAACATCGTCGTTACTGTTCTGATGTCACCAGAATGATAACAAAAGATTGCCAGAGGTAACAACCTTGATCCATTAAACCAACTTTTATTTATTTCTTTTACTTTTAATAGTCCTAATCTTTAGTTCATTGAAATATTGACATAGGATTAATATGTCTTCATTTTTCTTTATTCCATCAAAGAGAGTTCTTCAAGGCTTTAATAAGCCATTTTTGTGAACCCAGTAGGAAA